TGGAAGGGAAAAGTATGTTATTGAGTATTAGATTCTGAAATACTTGCTTTTTGTATGAAGGACACTGTAGTAGTGGAAGAAAATTTGTTTGATGCCAAACTGTGTTTTATACACTACAGAAATAAGCCAGCATTTGGGGAAAATCTCCCAGGGCAGCTGAGATATTCTGTTTAAACAGCTGTTGAGTTAACCCGGCAGCCTCGGGTGATCGATACAGGCTTCCACACCGGCTCTGGTTCATGACTGATGCCAGCAGCAGCTGCACCATTATGGATAAGCATCTCCTCTCCTTGGAAGTGGCATCGTGTGTGGTGTATACAGCGAGGCAAACATATGAGCCAAAGAACATACACAGGTCCATTGTCCCTTCGCTGGCTGATATCTGTGTGGCCTATTAGAGTTTATAATGGGTTTTCCCATCAGTTAGAGCATTCTTCATCTTATTTGGCCCTGCGGCCCTGTTACCCACCGTGGACAGAGAAGAAAGTGAGGCGTGGAACTGTCAAACTGATTAGCCTAAACTCAGGTGAAATTATGTCTGGAACTTAGATCTTCTCTTTGTGCATTTGGGTGCTTTTTCCGGGGTCACATTTTCCTCATGCTGTGGTTATTCAGCAGCACCCCCTAATATGTATTGAATATTAACTAAAGCTATGTATGTAATATAATGCTAAGCACTTTAGCTCATGTAACCATCAATCCTGTAATGTAGGTAAAATTCATATTCCCACTTTACACATAAGAAACAGATCTTCTGACTGAGTAACTTCTCCATCATTATATGGCTGGTAATGGCCATTAGATTTGAAATCCAGTCCACCTGAGTCAAAAGTACAAAGACATTGTTTATCATCTTGGCATCCCCATTGCTTTGAAATCAGTACTTTGCGTAATATTACATTTAACTGTATATTTAATTGAATCATACTATTGTTGTATTGTCAACTAGTACATTTAGAATGTTGTACAGAATTAATTAACTATTATGATGAATTATCAATATCTTGTTGGGGATCTATATCCCAGAAACCAACCTAGGGGTTGGTAGTATCTGTTTTTCTGTTTTCCCTGATCATTATCCCCTTTCTCTAGTGGAACTTTCCTCTTCCTGTCTGATTTCTACTCATTCTTCAAGTCTCAGCTTAAATATGGAGTCCTTCCAACAGTCTAGGTCAGGGGTCTCCCCTACGTACCCTCCACTAATCTGTGTATTAATTACTTATTTAGTCACTTTTATCCTCCACCTAGAAAGGTCTCATTCAGTGTTTATCTGCAGTCTAGCAAAACACCTGTCTTTTATTGGGTACATGATGTGTGGAATGAATTCATGACCTCAGTGACTTAAAATTAGCATCAAATGAATATGTCTTATGAAATAGATGGTTTCATGTGGCAGTGGTTTCAAATTCTAGAGAAGCTGAAGAGTGCCTTTTAGTAGGCAGAGATTGTTACACAATCGGAAGCCATTGGGAAGTGTACCCATGGGTGCAGATACCGTCTGCTCGTGCCTGTGCCCAGATAAAAACACGTTAGGGACCCGAATGGGCTTCTAGGGAACACACGGAATCAGCGTCACTGTTATTTTTGTCTCTATAAACCACATCCAGGCTGTCACAGTGTGTTTCATAATATTTGAAATATTTAAGTCTTGTAATAGAAAAATATATCAACCAGTTATTTTGAATAAAAATGAAAGGAAATCTAAATGGGCTTGTATTGTCAGAAAGCAGAGCAGAGCTGGGAGGGGAGTGGCAAAAGGCCACCGTAGACACAGGTAGTGACCCGGGTCGCCGCACAGAGCTGCGGGTGTAAGGTGTGCAGTCCCCTCTGGTGCAGCGCCGCACCTACACTGGACAGTGTGCCGTGACAGCTCTCTCCTCTAATCACCAACCTCTTTCAGCAAATGCGGGCCTCATGGCTGCTTAACCAAAAGAATATGGCAGACATGACATTGGGTCCATGTCCAGGTTCAGGCCTTCAGCAACTGGAAGCTTCCATTTGCTCTCTCGGGATGGTCACTCTTGTCAAACACCTTCCCTGCTGTAGGAAAGCACAGCAGTCCCAGAAAGGCCCTGGTTGAGAAGAGCCGTGGATGTGGGCGCAGTGCACTGGGTGATGTCAGCACTACCTTGTTAGCCATGCCGATGACCCGGTTAGACAGTGAGCCCTTCAGCCCTAGCGAGCCACCCTAGCTGACAACACATGGAGCAGAATGGAGCTGACCCATCCGGCCCCACCCAGCCTCGTGCCTAAGCTTTTATTCAAATTTGGCTGTATTGTCCAATAAGGGCAAGAACTTCAGATACTCAATGTTACAAAATAAAGGAAGACCTGGGTTTTTATGATTAACAAATCAGTGTAAAAAAAAAGATACCCTTTCATGAAAATGCATTGCTCTTAAGATATTACCCTGCACCTGAATAGGGGAGCCCCGTGAGTCCTTGTGTGTGGGGTCAGGCTTTGCTTAGGAAGCAGTTCTGTGGGCACCCCAACACAGTACCAAAGAATCAGCCTGGGTGCCAGAGCTTTCTGGAGCAGCGTCTAACAGATTTTCATTGGCAATCAAGGTTGGTCTGTCCCCGTGAAAATGCTTTGTAAACAACCCAGTTTCTACTAATGCAAGAAGATGGTGTCGCCATTAATTTTATGATGATTGTTATTCCGTGCTGAGTGTCTGGAGTTCACCAAATCATTTTTTTCTTCTTCTGCTTCCTTGTGCCCCTTGTCAAATAGTTGCAAGTGGAGGGTTAATATGAGTGAAGTATCAAAATCAGGAAGAAACAATATTTACAAGGACCAGACTAGAGGAGGCTCTTGAAGCATTTTCTGTTTTAAAACTTATAATTCATTTCCTAATAACTCTCTTTTTGTTTTAAGGACTCTGTAGAAACAATCAGGCTAAAGTGTGAGTAGTGAATCCCTTTATGTAGCCTGCAATGTCCTGTTTTCCTGTATTAACTTGGCAATAGGATTTGCCGTCTGGTGTCCAGAGGTAAAAGTCTATAACCCACAGGTCCCTTTTGCTGCCATGTGACTTGCAGTCCTTTCTAATCTTGGAGCCTGGAGTCCCTGGGCCGTGGGTCCCGAGGACTGATTCGCTCGGAGAATCCCCGGAGGGACCCTGGACTCAGCGTGCAGTCAGATGCGTAGGGAGCTTCTTACAACAGGAGGGACAAGGCAGCCGAGGGAAAGGCCCGTGGAGTGAAGTTTGGAGGAAACCGCAGGCAAGCTTCCAGGAGCCCTCTCACACCGGAGTCATATAGGACACGCTTGTCACTCTGGCCACGAGATGTGATGGCCCAGGGTTTTCCTGGGGGCCGGTCATTGTGTTCCTGACCTAGCGCTTACCACACTTTCGGGCCTGGGGTTGGAAGCTGATCAGCATAAACCACGTTGTTGGCACAGACATCTCAGAGGCTGCAAACTCTGTGTCAGGAAGAGCATGGGGCGTGGTGGCTCCCAATTCCAAATTCCCGGACACCAGCCAAGGGCCAGCCTTGGCAGCAGCCTCTCGAAGGACCACAGTGTCAGGCCGGCTCTGTGAACTCCTTCCTGCAGTCACTTACTCCTTCCAGTTCCAGCAGTCGCTTTTGGCTTCGTGACCTGTGTGCTTGAAACGTAGCTCCTTTTGAGGCTTGGTTTAAATGTCTCTGCAGAAGTTCGGCTCCATCTCTTGAAGGTACCTCGGTGTCTAGTCTGCCAGGTTCCCTCTGCTCCTCAGCTTTTCTCTAACGTGATATGTGTTTGCTTGTTGTATGGAGTCGATGGAAGAGGGCTGAGCCCTCCTGTGCGCTGGCAGGAGCCGCTGGGACCCTTGTGTGCCTTCCATGTTTTCACTGGTTTGGGCGGCTGGGGGCCCGGGCTCGACCCTGGAGCGGGTGGTCCTGGTGCTGACTGGTGGAGACCGATTTCACTCCTAACGTAGACCGCTGGCTTGGTCCCGATGTCCTGGGGGGTACAATCACTGCAGCCATGGCTGCTTATCCTAAGCTTCCCCCATGACTCTGCCCTTCTCGCCTCCTTCCTTCCCTTCCAGCTACAGAGAGCGCACCCAGCTCCCTCCCAGTCACAACTGCAGGTGGGCCCCAGGCTGGGTCACTTTCCACTTATGCTCAAGCTGGCCGGCATCCTTCGGAACTCTGACCCCCTCTCCAGGCACACAAGTAAACTTCGCAACTCTCTGCATATCCCAGAATCACTTTTTACCATTCCCCACTTAATGGATAATTAGGCTAGGTAGAGAATTGTAGGTTGAAATCTTTCCCTCCAGGCTCTGAAGGTATTGCTCCTTCTTTAAAATTCTATTTTGATTTTCATTTCCAGTGCATGATCTGACATTCCTCTCTTCTGTTTATGAAAATGTAACTTTTTCTGTGTCGGCTGCTCTGCCCTGTCTCCCCACCTCCTTGTGGTATTGCAGGGCGCACAGCCCCTGCCCTGCGGCCCCAGCCTCCCGATTTCCAGAAAAGTATGGAGTCCCTTCTTCACCAGCGCCCTGTTCTCCTTGGTATTATGCATTTGCTAGTGTTCCTCACGATGTCTCAGGACAGCGGACGTAAACGTTTCTGCACGGCCTGCCACCTGTGACTATCCATCCCTCAGCTGTGCCTCCCCTTCAAGTTCCACTACTGCCCCCAAAGAACCCTCCTGTGTGGAATTTGCATTTAAAAGTTGTCAGTTGAAACGGCAATGAGTTTAAGAAAATTAATTAAGTTTTTAAACAATTAAATTGAACCATAGCAGGCAGAGTACTACATATAAATGACCTATGTGTTTGGCGCGATACCCAAATATTATCTTAGTGTCTTTATGAAAACAGTCCTGGCTAACGGATCCCCCAAAAGGTTCATGAGGACTCCGAGGGTCTGTAGACAATACTTTGGTAATCACTGCTGTACACATTAATGTCATTATAACTGTATAATGTCGGTAAACAGATTTTAGAGACTGTGTTAGGGAGAACTTGTGTATTAAAGGATATGTTGCTGTTTTTCTCAAAGGGCCCGTCTTGCTGGGAAGATGTCTTGATCCCAAACCGGATGAGTGGTGAATGCCAGTTCTCAAACTGCCCTGGGACGACAGCAGTAAGTACCTGGTCAAACCCGTTCTCTAAATTACGGCCTCGGCAGTGTTTACTAGGAAATCACAATAGAAACAAAAATGCTGACTGTCCATCCATCTGATAATATTTGCAAAGTGTTGCAACATTCAAAAGTGTTTATAATATTCACCAAATTTCTACCTGCGTCATTGCCTTCCAGCGTCATTTTCCTAGAGACTTACCTACTTGGGGTGACTATGTTAAAACTATGTTTAAACTATGATAGTTTAAACTCCTCGCAAAATATCATTCATGAAATATAAAGAAGAGCCAGCTCAGAGCTTGGCAGAAGAAAATAACAAAGATACAGCATTGACCTTTTTTCCTGATGCTATGATATTTTGTATTTATATTTATATTTATATTCCATATCATTCAAAATTGCTTTCTTGCTTTATCTCTTTCTGCCATTCTGTAGCAGTTTTCTGACACTGTTGACTGTTAGAAGATCTAGTATCAGCGACCAGCTATTCAGTTGAGTTACCGTCCTCTGTCCTCTGCAACCTCTTTTATCTTTGCAAACATATGCCACATGTTTCATATAGAGCAGATATTTCTGGCAAGAGACCCTGAGTACTGAAGTTATTTTAAAAATATTTTTTTATTATGGTCATGTTTGTAATTTGTATATTGCTATACTTTTTACCTTGAAAGTCCCTGGTCCATCATAATCTGATTGTATGTATTTCCTGAGCAGTAAATGCTGTTATGGCGCCAGCACAAATGTCCGCGTTAGTTCACAAACTGTCACAGCAGCTGACAGTTAGTATCTTCTCTGAGGAACAAAGTCTTTCAACAGCAACAGGTACAGTGTTTGAACTAGATCGTTAGGCATGCCTCCTCTCTCCAATGTGCTGGGTGATGGCAGGGACACCGAGATAGCAGTGAGCAGTGGTGATAGTCCTTCTGTGAGGGGAAGGGGCTATGAGCAGGTTTCTGTTAATGCAAATCCTGGAGAAAAATAATGGCTCGTATGGCACACACAGATAACGAGCATAATATAGTCTTGTAAGCTTGCTAAGTGAGTATATTTTATAGGAGAGAATTCTTAAGTATAATTTTATATATATTGGGTTGTCGGAAAACTATGACGTATTTTGTCTATGTTTTTCAGAGGTCATTTATTTATATAAAGAACAAAGATCAATCCATTTTATATTGTCCGGTTTTTTTTTGTTTGCTTGTTTGTTTTTGGTTTTTTGTTTTTTTTGGGTTTTTTTAGCTGAGCCATCATGCTACACGTTGGCAACTCAGTGGCAGCTCAGCTTGGGCTGGAGAATCAAATCGGCAGCCTTATTGCTCAGAACTCACACTCTTGAGCAAGCTCTTAACCAACTGAGCCACTTGGCTAGCCCTATTGCCCGTTTTGTTCGATAACCTTTTGCCGTCTTTCAGTGAGCTTCATAATCCCTAGTTCATAGAAGGACCTGTCTTTGCTTGCAAAAAACTGAACAAAGTGCTGATTTACAGCTTCATCTGAATTGAACATTATACCACGCAAGGAGTTTTGAAGAGAGTGAAACAAGTGGAAGTCTGATGGCACAAGGTCAGGCGAGTATGGTGGGTATGGCAACACATCCCATCTAAGTGCCAATAACTTTTGACCGGTGATCAAACTTGTGTGTGGTCTCACGTTGTCATGATGGAACACAACTCCTTTACAATTAACAATCTCTGGACATTTCTGGATGATGGATTTGTTCAAATTGTCCAATTGCCGACAGTACACATTTGGATTGATTGTTTGATTCCTTGGTAGGAGCTCGAAAAACACCTTTAAAATCCCACCACACTGAGAGTATAACCTTCCTCTGATGAATGTCCACTTTTGATGTCATTTGAGGAGAATCATCACCTCGGGACCAAGACTATTTGCACACCATATTGTTGTAAACAATCCACTTCTCATCACCAGTTATCAGTCACTTCAAAAAGGATCGTTTTCCTCACATTTAATGAACATATTGCAGATGTTTATAAGCGCCATCAAATGAACTTCTTTGAGTTTATGCAGAACCCAAATATCAAGCTTGCTTATGAGCCCAGCTTTTCAGGTGGAACACTTGAATGATGGATGTTCAATGTTTCTGCAATCTCTTGTGTCATGTAACATGGGTTTGACTTGATCAATGCCTTTATTTTGTTGTCATCAACCTCGGTGGGCCTCCCTAACCAAGAAGTGTCATTGAGATCAAAATCACCAACACGGAATTTTGTGAACCATCATTGGCACTGACATTCTTGTAGAGCATTGTCACCATAAACTTTATTCAACTCTACACAAGCTTGATGTGTGCTCTTCCCTTTATGGAAGTAAAATATGGCAAAAATACACAGTTTGGTCTTCCATCTTCAACTTGTTTTAAAATCTCCAAAACTCAACCAAATAGCTCAATTTTTTTTTAGAATGAAACTAAAACTGTCAGCTGTCAAAATGACATAGCAATAACATAGATGCAAATGACTCTAGTACTTTCAAAAATGAACTAGTGCCATCTGTTGCAAATGTGTGTCATGATTTTTCTGACAACCCTATATATATGTGTACATATATGTGTATATGTATATGTATATATTAATGTGTGATATGTATATATTATAGTATACATTTTATATGGATATAGTTACATTTAATTATTATAAAAATGGATCCATATCCTTTGGTATGTATAACATCAAGACCCCCATAACAATTTTACAGTGACGTGAAGTCTTTTGAAAATTTCCCCCAATCACTGACAGTCTGATTGGATCCGTGTACCTTGATATTGATCGACAGGATTCAGTCACAGCAGAATAAACAATTTTGCATCTTTAAAATCTAGCTTCAAATTGGTCAAAGAGGGAAACTGTGTTGTGTGCGGGTGGAAATCATGGCCTTTGCTTGTTGAATAGTCAGCTTATTTTGGATATAAATGCATCGACTCCAGTAGACACTAAGTTACAGTATAGCTCTATTTCTGACAGCACAGTGAATGGATACCCTTAAAAATCCTTGAAGTACACATCATAGAAAATCTAGATAAAATTACAAACACATATTTTTAAAGGAATGGCTATGCTGACAACATAGTAAGAAAAAAGTTTATATGCTAAAAATTAAGAGAAGGCTGGACTTCAGAAAGGAAACTTTGTAAACTGTAGGCACAATAAAATGAAAGGGGATATAGCCCAGACTGGGCAGACATACACTGGAGATTACAGGTGAGTTACGGTCTTATCAAGGTGGAAAACGAAACCACTGAACCCTGCATAAAGCTAGCATCCTCGCTGGATTAAGTGGAGAGGAAGGTGCTAGGAATCACTGCCTGTTTTGTTTTCACTCTAGATGGAGGTGGAAATGTTACTTCTTAGACTTTGTAAGCACGAACCCATTTTTACCTGAATTTTGGGCCAATCAGTATTTATTCTTTCTGTGGCACATGAAGTCCTCAACCTAGAATGTTGTTTAAAGTGGTTGTGCTATAAACTGGGCTGAAATGTACCCCAAATCTCCCAAGAAGCCAGGCTCTCACATTGGGTCTTCATATATTTCCCTCAGGCAGTGTTTCATGGAGCAGGAACTAACAATCAGAAAAAAATCACACATGGAAACAATTTCTCATGAATGAGAGTGAGCAGAGTTCAAACCTGGAAAGAATACAAAAATTGAAGTGGTCAGGGACAGAATACAAGTGTGCTTAATGTGTTTAAAAAATGAAAGTTCATATAACAAATGATTAAAAAACAAAAAACTACCAAAAATATTCAGTCATATTCAAAGATTAAACACATATAAGCATGCATGCACAGATTAGCACAAGAAATTCTATAATTGAAAATTATAACAAGTGACACAAAACTTACTAAATGGGTTAATCAGCAGATAAGAAAGGTGAAAGAGAAATTATAATTTAGTTTTTAAATTTGACCTGGTAAAATTACTCAAAATGCAGCCCAAAAGTATAATAAATTTAAAATATCAAAGAGAAGCTAAACAACATGGAGGATAGAATAAGAAATTTCAAATATTGGATTACCAGAAGAAAGTAATGGAGAAAATGACAGAAAGATAATATTGAAAGAGATAATGAAGCCAAAACTTACACAATTTTTAAGACCTAAGAATCCAGATGAATCACAAGGAATAAAATGAAAGGCAACGCCAACTCAATCATACTGAAGCTGCAGGATATAGAAGTCAGAGAAGTTCTAGAAGTGGCTGGAATGAAGAAGGCTGGTTAATTACGTAGGCATGATGATTGATTGTTACTTAGTCAATATTAATGTTGGAAAACACGTGACAGGGGAGCAATGTCTTCAAAATGCTGAAAGAAAATAAATGTTAAGCTATACTTGTATGTAAGAAAAATCTTTTAAAAACAAAGGACGAGAACAACAAAAAAGATATTTCCAGGCAAACAAGCTCAGGGAGTTTACTGTCATCTAAACCTTTCAACTATTTTAAATAAACATTTTAGAAAGAAAGAAAATGATCCCGGAAGGAAGGCTTGAAATTTGAGAAGGAATGGTGGGAAAAAAATATAGATGAACCTAAACAAAATATAAAAATAAGTATGATAATATTTGATTTATGGACACATTTCTAAACAGTAAATATAATTACTGGTCAATATGGCTTATAAACACAGAGCATGAAATTAAAGCATTCTAAGATCTTTGTATTTTTCACCAAAAGTAAAGATACTGACTAAAATTAAACCTGTTTTTGGCACATGCATATTCATAACAGCTCTGCTTGTAACAGCCCAAACTGGAAATAACCCACATGTCCAACCACAGGTGAATGGGCGAACAAACTGTGGCGTGGCCATGAATAAAAGGGGAAGGACTGCTGACACGTGCTACGCTGTGGATGGATGTCAAAATAATTGTACTTGGTGAAAGCAACCAAGCAAAGAAAAAAAGTAGATACTGCAGTGATTCCATTTATGTGAAGTTCTGGAATACAACCTAGAAATATATCAGCAGTTGTGTAGGAAT